AATGGAGATTTCTTTTAACAAAGCCCAGGGCAACAGTAATTCCCTTTTTATATATTTGTTCTATACAGATCTTGGTTATAACTGATTTTTTAATATTTATTTACATTTCATCACGAGAAACAAATAACATTTTAGTTCAGAAACATGCTATAACTGAAGTAAATGCCAAATATTAACCGTATATGTGTTCAGTATTTCTTGAAACAGAGATAAACATTAGTTATGTCTGTACTGCTTTAACAATGCAGCGAGTCGACCAACAAACAGCAAACACTCGCTGAGCAACAAGGAAATATTAGAATTTTACCTGCTGCGTTCTGATTGGGGACTTCCTTTTCCATGTCTTTAGATAGATGATCTTCCTTTTCTTCACTCAGGGTTCACTGGATGGTTCAAGCGTGAATAAAACAAATAAACATTACTTTTTTTTTTCTTTTTTATGCGAAGCCACGAGTTACAGTTTGTCGTCACATGTTCAAAGGTCCAAACAAATATTGTAAATCTGCTTACGTGCATGTCAACAGAGCCAAGCTCAAAGGCAGTCTCGCTAAAGTTAAAGAAGAACAAGAACAACCATTACGCTCCTCAACTTTTCAAACTGTCACTAAATAAAAATGAAATATGTACATTGCAATTTGGAAGTATTAATTTGTGGCTGTGCTTTCGGGGATTTGCTAAATAATGTTTTGTTGTTAAATCGAAACTGAACTTGCTGCGAGGTGACAGTAAGCTAGCCGAAGAAAAGCTAGTATAAATTATTGCGAGAGAAATAACTACTCGCCGGGAACTAAGCTCTAATGACATGCACGAAACGTAAATTGTTGGTAACCTTAATTAAATAGAGCTAGTTATTTAAGTGACAAAAGATAACTAAGCTAGCCCAGCCAGAGAGATGCTAATTTAGCCAACAATTACCAAAGCATTACTTGGGTGTTACTGTAAAAAAAATGCCTTCGTGTAACTCAAAAGTCTTAACGATACGTGGGCTTTTCTGATTACTGCTCCATACCAAATATGTCACGGGTCATATCGCCGTAGATCATACGCTTCCTTAGCTTTCAGTTAGCATATGTGACACTCATAGCAGACTAAAATTCTGAAGCGGAACGTATTAGTGTTTTTGTTTCTGTCGAGATAACTAAACGTTGCACTATATTCCGGACGGCAACGGTGTCCTGTCAAGAAATGTCCCCCCAGCTACAGGGAAGTCCAGTGATTGTAGCTTGTTTGTGCGCGCGATGTTACATCGCATTGTTTAGTTGAAGTTGTTTGGCATTGCTCAATTGAATTTGAGTTACAAATGGATACCAGAGACTCTGAAGATAAGCTCTCTCGTCCCATGACTAGATTGACACGACGGATGTCAGGTAAAGGTGAGCACTGTTCGAGTGGTATGTCAATTAACTAGCTTAGCCGTCGGAATTAGCTCCCTCATACTCACAAGTTTAAAAGAAAATCAGATTTGGATCGGTGCTTTGGCTAATGTTAGCAGGCTTCACCGGTGTAAATGATCCTCAGATAGGAATCTGTATTAAAATTAACTTAATGTTTCAGTTCCTGGTACGAGTTCAGGCACAACTTTAAAACCAATGAGTTATCTCGTTACATTGAAATGCTTTGCTATATATTAGCCATTATGTATGTGAGGGTTTTTGTTGTTGTTGTTGTTGTTGTTTGTTTGTGTTTTGTTTTTTTAGCGCTGTGTCTCGAAACAGTTTACAGCAGCAGCGAAATTAAAATCACAAACTGACTTTCGCTTTTAGCACTGGCGGTCAGTGACAGGGATCAACGTTTCATTAAGCCGCTAAACACACTGATATATGGGCAAACTGTGAAAAGCAAAGTCAGACTGACTTGATATTGAGTGCAACTAGTCTGTGGAAATATGAGTTTTCCTTTTAAGAGCATTCTGAAGTCAGTGACAGAGTAGCTCAAAAATGAAAATTCACAGGCTTTTACTGTGAAATCCAAAATAAGATGGCATTGATGGGGCGCTACTAGAGTACAAGGGTGTGTCATTTGGATGTAACATTAGAGTGTGTAAACAAGACTAAATGTTATTTGTTATTATGTACTTAACATATCTGTTAATTAACTCGAAGCTTTTATTTTGCAATTAGGTTTTGAATGCTTTTATTTTGAAATCAGGGTTAATGTTGAAGCTACGTTTACTTGAAGGTGGTTTTTATTTTGAAATCAGGTTTCCGCGTCTCTTGCCGTAATACTAGAATACATAGGGAACACAAAGCAAAATAGAAGCTGGCTGGACACCAGTGCTGTTTCAGGGTTTTTTCTTCTTTTGGCTGCTCCCGTCAGCGGTCCCCACAGGGGATCATCTCCTTCTTTTTCACCCTGTCCCTAGCTCTGCATGTCCTCCTTCACATCATCCAGGAATCTCTTCTTTTGTGTTCCTCTTTTCCTCCTGCCTGGCATTTGCATTTTCAACCTCCTTTGCCCAGTATATTCACTATCCTTCCTCTGCACTTGTCCAAACTATCTCAGCCTTGCCTCTC